CAGTCAAAATCTTTTAATTCTCAGCAACCTTTTTGTCCCTTTCTTCAGTATTGGTAGGAATACTTTTTGGCTTTAAAACCATACTACAGATTTTGTTGTCCATTAGTTCATTGACGATTAGAGCATTGTTGTTACAAAAGAACACTGCTACATCATCTTCATTTAATATCACTTCTCCACAAATTCCATTAATTCGAAAATTTAGCCTTTTGCTTGTGATATCCCAAAACCTTCAAATTGGAGGTTATCATCATGAAATACAATAGCTGACAATAAATTATGACAATAATTTTTAAAAAATTTGCAGACATGTTCATCCATGATCTTGCAATGCAGCACGAAGCAGATTTTATGGTAAAATTTTCACATATTTTTCAATGCTCTTGCCTCAGAAAATTTGGCATAGATTTTAAAAACACTACTTTATATTTTCATTTCAGGATCCACAGCACTCTGATATCTATTAACCCTTTTACGCATGGTGGTCGTGCCCTGAAACCACCAATTTTTGAATTTTTGAGTGAAAATCAATTGATTACTGGTCTTTTATCTCTAAATAACACAAAATGACTGCAGAATCATACATGTTTTAAGTCTTAGTACTTCAAATCTGATGCCTTTTAAAATTCATTTTCACTGAGACAAAATAACTTCCTTTTATTAATATAAACAACTTTTACTTTCAAAAGTTATTCATCGCACATCATGATTTCTATCGTGAACAATAAAAAATTGCAATAATTAAACTGCATATATATAAAAAACTTATCTATATTTATGGCATTTGCTTTGTGGTTTCAGGATGCGACTACTGCACCACTAGAGCATTGTGTCACAATGCTCACAATCCTCTAGAGGCTCGGTGGTCGCGCCTTGAAACTGCTGCTCTTCACATTGACATTTGCTTGCTTTTCAAATAGGAATATTTTACCCGGATATAGATAAGAGGCTTTGAAACCACAGAGTTATTTTATTACTAAACAATACATGCACCTGCCCAGTGAAAAAATCTTAGAGATTCTTCTCTGACCTCAACACATTTGCTTGCTTGTGATTTTATAAATTATTTGGTGTTGCTTAACTTGAATGTGAATATACTTTGCTATAATTAAAAATAGAAATCGTGTAAAAGTTTTATTTGAATTAAAAATATTTTTTAAATATTTTGGGACGAAATATGAATGGGAAATGAATGATTCGTACCAAAGTCGAAAAGACCAAGCCCCCCCCCATTAACATAAAAAACTACAAATTTCATGTGCCAGATGAAAAGAAACTAAATAACGCTGGACATATACCAATAAAATTTAGAGAATCCAGGCAGTATACATTTTGTAGCACAAGTAAGAAACCTCATAGAACAAGATATATATGTGAAATGCACAACGTGGGTTTATGCATGTACCAAAATGTATTGCAAAGACAAAACATGCTTTGAACCACTGTTCAAAGCATGTTCTCAAAAAAATATAAGCATTCACAAAAAACAAAAAATTCACAAAAATATAAGCAATTTATTATAATATAAATGTTCAAAGCATTCACAAAAAATGTGTTCTTTGAAATAATAATAAAAATAATTAAAAAAAAAACACTGAGTTTTTTTTTTTTATCTTTACTTTACTGAGTTTTTTATCCATTTATCTGAACGTCCTTATTATGTAGGTACTTATATTTTCACTGCTATAGAAAAATTACATGAATGTTTATTTTTTAATTTTTTCTGATGATTTACTTCATAAAATAATGTAAAAATTTACATATAATGCAAGATTTACATACATTTTTTAAAAATTCGTAAATTTCGTCATTTACTGGACACATGCTCGGAAAAAGGTTAACTTTTTTTTTTGCCTACTACCTCAGTAAGTTTCAAAGTCCTAGACACGCGCTGATTTCACAGTGCGACCACCACCCACAGAACGATGGGCAAGAGTAGATTTTTTAAAAGTCATATATTACTTGTCTCTAGGATCATAATATTCAATTTCTAGAAATTTAATTAAAAAAATTATAAAAATAATATAGCGTGCATGAAAGGGTTAAGTGAATGTTGGAAATATAATTTGGGGGAAAAAAGGATACCTGTTCTTTCCAGGTTTATAAATTTATTCCTGAGATAACTTTTTGCCACTGATGAGTTCAATGAATTCATCTTGAATCATTCTGAATTAGGAAACTGTTCAAGAGCTTCAGGCTGAAGCCTTTTTGCCTGCAATGTTTATCATGTTGATTCTTAAATTTATTTAACCAGCTTATCAAATAACTGCACTCATTTTCTAAGGTCCATTTCCTCATAAAATATTTTGGTTTGAACCATTAGTATTGGACCCCATCAATGCCAATCCCTCCCTGTGATGCTGTTTTACCAATTCAATAATCACATTGTCAAGACCTTTTAGGATAATGGAATGATTCTTCTATTATTTATTGCAGGTAAGGTGTCCAACCCTCCAAAAATAAAAAAAATCCAGGTTTCCCCCTTTTTTTGTAATGTCATATACTGTTGTCTTTCCAGTGCCATACACTCCTCACATAATTTTGAGATGGGTACGTTTTTATCCATTTTTTTTTTTTTTCAGCAATTCTAGTTTTGCTTGCTTATATTGAAACCTGCTTTCATTTTGGAAATCCTTCTGAAGCTGAAGATTTAGAAACTCTGATATAATAAAAAATTCAAACTTTACTTTTGATGCAATAGCAGTAATAATAATAGCTATCAGAAAATAATAAGCTGCAATATCCCACTCCAAACAGATGCCTTAGGGTTTTACTCTTCTTGTTTAAGTCAGACAGAAAAATACAAACCTCCCATAATTGCTTAAGGGCTAAAAGTGTAGTCATGGCCATTGTCAATCAATGTATTGTCAATGGCCACAGTACAATTCCCTAGCCAGCAGTTGTTTGAAAGAGACACGGAGGAATCTCCATTAGTCAGGAGAAAAATCACTTTTACACCATATTAGCTTTTTCTTGAGCATTATATTTTCCATTTGTAGATTCATAAGGTGGGAAAAAAATAGCAAGTTGTTAGGAGGTCTGGTACTTTATTGATTATCCAACATTCACATAATATTACAATTTTTAATTTTTTCCATGAAATGAAAACAGTATATTTCTTATAATAAATTGAGTACACATATTCCTTAAGAATATTAAAGCAAACTATTCAAGAGCTATCTTCCTAAAGGTAAGTATAACCTCTAAGCAGGGGCGTAGCTAGAGGGGGGCAAGGGGAGGCATCTGTCCCCGGGCGCAGAATCCAAGGGGCGCCAAACTGATGTTACGACATTTTAGAATTAAATGTTTTTCATCCTTGGCAAGCAGTAAGGGGTGCAAAATCTTCAGTTGTCCCTGGGCGCTGAAAACCCTAGCTACGACTCTGCCTCTAAGTGAAATTGGTTTTATGTTACAAAAGGAAAAAACCATGACAATCCTGTGCAAGCAAAAAAAAAAAAAAAAAAAAAAAAAAAAAAATTTTTTTTTTTTTTTTTTTTTTTTTTTTTTCCAGGATATGAGCTCGGGTTGAACAACCAGTTTTCATTGATATTATCTATTAGCACTGGTAGGCCTAAAAAGTTGCCAAAATAATGGATATTTGTTACCAGAACATTAGCTATGACAAAGTCAATTTTTAAATAAGGCCATAGTTCACTAAAGCCTAGTTACAGTACATCTCGGTTTTTTACAGAAACTACAAATTTAGCCAATGTGTGCTGAAGATCAATGAGATCGGCTTTGTAGTTTGTGATATAATTAAATAGCAATATGGCAATATTACAAAAGTATTTTCATATTCATGTAGTATTTCTTTTAGCAGCTAAAACTGATATTAGCTTATGTATTCACGTCTTACTTTTCTCTGATGTGTGTGTGTGTGTGTATAGCAGATGGGGAAGAAATACCCTACATTAAAATGCAATTTCTTCAGGAAGCGAAATGTTTACTAGCTGTACCATCCAATTATCAAGGTTTTAAGGGCTTAGAAGCCAAAATAAAGTTTAAATTTACCGGATCTCATGAATATTGTTCAAAATGTTTACTTTTCTTTTATCCCTGATACAATTTTGTGTTAATATTAATTTATTCACTTCTCTTGTGCCATATTACATTATTTCATTTTTATGACACATTTATTTTAGTTAAGTTATTTACCATATTATTGTCCACTTAATTTATTAATGTTTTATTAGTCCAAAAGGGCTTTGCACCTGACTGACTATTGTTTTCATTTTGCGATTTTGCGTTAAATCACTCTGAATATCCATTTCCCTTTTCAACTGTTGCCACCAAAATACTATCGCCTTATATTATATTTGAAGAAATTAAATAATGAAGAATCTGCATAAATGTATGTATATTTCTTGCATTGTGATAAAATAATGGTACCTAGAGCCATCCAATTTTGAATGACATAATCCTACTGCGAATATGGGCATCTGGAAGACCAAATTTGAAATTTGGAATTTGTTTTTATTATCGGTTTCATATTTTGTAAAACTTTAATGAATTTTTGATTAACAAACTCAGCGATTTAAAAGTGAGCAATGACAACACTCTACGGGAGGGGAAAAAAACCTTTTTATCTCCAGTGCCCGGAACTGTGTATGGAAAATTCTTAAGATATGCTCATTTTAAAATTATTTTGTGACATTGCTGTTGAACTGAATTTTATGGTTTAAGTGCAAAGAGCATGATAATAAATAAATAAAGGTAACACACAAAACGTTAAAAAAACCCTCTTTGGACGTAATTTAAAATCTGAAACCTTACAGATTTTTTTTCCTTACTATTCTACATATTTACTTTTGTTCAGCATTCCAGGCAAATATATAATCTATACAGCCATAAGTACTTCTAATTTTAGAACTTAAACTCTGTTAAATGATAAACTACAGTTTAAGACAGCATATGGAAAACTTTCATAAGAAATGTTCAATTTTATAATAATTATGCATAAGAAGAAAAAATAAGCATAAGTTCATTACAATATACCATACATTTTAAGGCTTTTTCATATTCCTTTGCTTTACATAATGTTAATGCAAAACTGCACAGGAGAGCTGAGTCCACTTTCTTTAACATAAGAAATTCTTTAATAGCTTCATTAATAAATCCAACCACACTGCAAAATATACAAATAATGAATGCATGAAATGAAAAAGCAGATTTTAAATTTAAAAAATATAATTTTTTTTTGGACAGACAATATTTTTCATGCATAACCAAGAAAGAACAATAGAAAAGGCTGATTTTAAAAAATATGTTATTATTACCTAAGCATTCTTGCATAGTTGGTTCTAACTATTTCCATATATTCATTATTATTATGACTCTCTAGCAGCTTCAGAGCTCTAGAAGTAATCAAGGTATATAAGAACATATAACGAATTTTTTTATTTATTAACTAAAAAAACACAGATATATAATATTTTCAGTTATTTTGCAATATTGAAAAGTGTATTAACATCTGCCAAATATATAAGGACAAGAGATAAGTGTTGACATGAATTTTAAATAAAAAGTTTCATAACATTTCAAGAAAAAATGATACACACTTTCTCGAGTAAGTGTGTATCGTTTTTCTTTACTTTTCAAAATTCAGTTCGTTATTTTCTCAAATTAAATGCCAAAATAAAGTTTAATAATTACTGAAATGTAATGCACAAAATAAAATAATTACAGTAGAGTCTTGCTTATCTGACATAAACAGGCAGACAGAACATCATATAAGCGAAAATGTTGAATAATAGGAAGATATTAAGAAAAAGCATATTAAACTTACAATTATGTTATAATTTTATATATTTTGAGACTAATAATCAAGTTTTCCAACAAAATAGGAAAGAATTAATTGAAAAAATGAACTTAAGTCACATGATTGTCTGAAGTTAAATGCACAATACTTCAAAAGTTCAGTTCTGCAATGACTGAAAAAAATGTTTGATCATAGTCTGTTTTCTTGAAGAGTTCCATTTCTTTGCTGCTAAGTCTTGCCATCTTTGCAGCATCGTTATGTCAATTCCTATAGTTTCTTCTTGTTATTCAATATATTTAATTTGAGTTTCTACAGGTTTAAATGATATTAGATGATATTATGTGAAATTCCAAGAAGGTCAATAGTTGGCACTTGATCTTAATCTTCAATTTCATTTTTATCACAAACGACAAGACCGACAACTTCTTCATCAGTTATTTCATACTGACCATCATCTTTCATATAACTTTTGATTTGTTGCAAAGATGCATCTTCATATCCACCGATACTTTGTTATAAAGGTAGAATGGTTTCTTAGTTTTTTCCGTGCTTTCTGTTTTCATACTTTCATTATCATCTAGCAGCTTCTTCCATGATTTGGCCATTGTTATAACTTTTATGTCTGCACAAGCTCAAGCAACATGATTTACACCGATGCATTTCAATTTTTCAATCATGTCTCATCCTTATTCAGTTTCTTCTTTCATTGTAGATAGTATCTTCCTACAATAATCCCTTTTAATCACTTCTAAAATGCCCTGATCCATAGGCTGCATATAGTGGTTACTTTGGGGGGGGGAGGAGAAATATTGCCAAAATGTCAAAGTCTTGAAGCTTTTCTGAATCAGGATGAGTTGGAGCATTATGTAGCAACAAAACTTTCTTTCTGGGTAAATTATTTTCTTTCAGAAACTCCTCTATTGAAGGAATGAATTCTTTAAAGTACAAGTCTTTGAAAATTCCCCTGCCCATCCATGGACAGTATTTTACAAGGACGTTTTTTGAAACTTTTAAAGGCTCTAGGATTTTGGAACTTTCCAATCATTACAAAGTTCATTCTGAGGTTTTCTGTAGCATTACTCTATGCTAACATTGTCAGCGTTTCCTTAGTACACTTACAGCCAGTGGCTGCCACTTCAGTTCTGGCTGCAAGACTCTTGCTAGATAACATTTTATAATTAAGGCTTGACTCATTATAGTTAAATATTTGATTATCTGTTAGAGCTTTTAGTTTCAATTAATTCCTGAAATGTTTTTTTGAATGCTTCCATTTCTTCAAAATTATATGATAGTATTTCATCACAAACACTGATGGGTACCATGGTGTTTCTTTCACCAGATGAGTACTTCTTTCACACAGATTTGAATTTCATGTAAGGCTTGTTTATTTATTTTTTTTTTTTGGATCCTTCCATCCTCTCTTCTTATAGTACTGGTCTACTCTCTGGGATGTACCCTCAGTAATACACTCAATGATGAGACCGGTACTCACTAAGCCGGGTAACAGAGTGGATATATATATATTTATATACGTTTGGTGCGGTCGATTGCAACCAAAATACGAGGTGCACATCTACATGTTATAGCAGTCCTATATACAAAATTTCAACATTCTGAGGCTACTCGTTTTTGAATTATGCGAGATACGTATGTACATACGTTCGTACAGACGCCACGAAAAATTCTATTCAGAATTAATTTTAAAGCAGTTTTATAATTTTTTTTTGAGGAAATGAGTCTTTTATTCTGTCCTTACGTACAGATATCATGCAAAAACATCGTTAAATTGCATTCAATAGTGGTCAAAATGGATATTTTCGTTGAAATATGCTGCCTGAAACTTTTCGTGTTTACAATACTTCCTTTTTACTTTGTACAAGGAAGTAAAAAGCTTTATTGTCTTGGAAATTACACTGTAGAAAGATAGTGAAGAATAAAGTTATCAAATGGAACACTTAAAACACAAAAATTTTTGGTAAAATACGAGTATTTCTGTAAATACAATTAAAACGGTGTAAAAAATGTGACAACAGCCTTTAATAGATATCTTGTGCATTACCTTTCAGCTTGAGAAAACAAAGATTTAAAATCATTGCCATAATAATCATAACAAAACTTATTACCAGCAGGATAAAAAGCTTTCATATATAACATAAACAAGAAAGAGAATATTACTTTGTCTGATCTTTCTCTCGATTTTTAACTATCAAAACTTCGAAAATTATACATATAGTTTTTAGACATGGGATATTAAAATCACTTTCAAGTAATATTTTCAGGTGAAACAAAACAAAATATTATTTTTGTTTTATACTGATAAATGTGTTTTACCTATTATATGATCTTAAAGAAACTCTGTATATACCAAGTCTCTCTGAAAGCATTCCTAATATATTAAAGGCTTCAGGACAATCATCTTTATTAGCTGAAAAAAATATATAGGTATTGACAATTGAATATACTACATAATTAAATTTTGAAGCAAAACAAGTTCATACTATAATACAAATAAAGGTAGTCATTTATTTTGCAATTTCAGATAATTTTATAGATTTATAATCATATTTCATCATGCTGTATGCAATAAAGAATATATTTAATGGATAGTTACAAATTCATTCAAATTTCTTTAACTAACTAGGATAGACAAACAAGAAAAATAACAGCTGCTACAGACATATAAATAGCTATAACCACTCTAATGAGGGGGAAAAAATGCAAAATTTTCTTCAGCATGTTTGGAATATTGCAAATTTCCAAAATTGCTCTCAAAGTAGAGTCACGGGCAGGGGTGGGCAAAAGCAGGCCCACGGGTCAAATGCAGCCCTTTTAATAGGTTAATACAGCCCATTATGAAATCCCCTTCAGCAACATTTTCATCTCTGTCCAACCTGATTTTGCACACAAACTACTGAAATCAGCAGTGCGAGTGTATATCTATTTTTACACTGTATTTACACTGCACACATACACACGACAATACATACTTTATATTTTTCCAGTTGACAAACATGCTGAGCTGTTGTGACCTTGTGTTCACTACCTAAGACTTATTAAAGTAAAAAAAAAAGTGCAATTAAGAGCATTAAATGTTATTTTAAATATGTTTTAAAAAAATTATAATGGGTAGCAGTGTCCTCTTCCCTCATCATCTCCTGGCAAACAATAGACGTGCTGCAAAAGATTGTCATATAAGTACCATCGCACCTTGCAACAGCCCTGCATACACGATAAACTAAAAAATAACTTTCTGGCCCATGGTTAAATTTGCTCATCTCTAGGTTTGGATTCTATGCTCTGAGAGTTGTTCTCAGTTTGTGGGCTACTACACATCATTACTAGTGAAACCAGTTTTATGCAACATTGCATTTTCTGCAAGTAAAAAATGGTAGAAAACATCGAAAAATAATTCCCATGTCATCAATCAGATTTGTGCAATTGACAGTCCAAGTTGGTATGGGTTTTTGCCACTTTTTTAAAAATTTAAATGAAGAATACAGTCGTAGACCACTAAATCGGAGTCAAATTTATTGAAAACATGATGATCCATTTAGTCTTTTCAAAATATCTTTATTGCATATTTTGGAAGGCCAAAACTTATGGTCTTCATGATATGTGTTTTCTGAAAGATATATTCCCTTCACAATGTACAATAGATCATACTTTTCTAATTTTCAATAAAATATTTTTCTACCATATATTTTTCATGAATTAATAATATCTGAGAAAAGTCTAATCAGCTTATATATAACAAATATACTTATATAATTTTAAAATATAACCTCACAAACAATTCTGTGAACCTAATAAGGAATATTTTTCATTATTAAGCGAAATTCACACTATTGTAAAACATAAAAAAAGGGATTATAAAGCTATAAAATATAAAATTTTTGTAACTGCTATGATACTTTTATAAATTATTTTTACTTGTGTACTTTTATTATGATTTAAAACTAATTAATAATAGATAAAATATTTATGTCACAAGTTTAAATTAAAACTGTTTATTATAATTTTTGCAGGGGCACTGGATTATCATGAAAATAAATAGTCACTGGGTCTTTGAAATAGATTCAATACATTAAAAAAATAATGAACTAGTAAATTATTAAATGATTATAATTTTTAACAGCTAGAGAGGCACAAGTTTTAAAAATCATTTGACATATAATAAATGAGATTTACTAACAGTAATGAACTACAGAAATATCAATAAATTTCAAACTTAACCATTTGACTGAAATCATATCTGCCTACAAATTTTTTATGCTTAATTTATAACTGTGTTTTTTTCCAAGATGATACTATATTATTACTACTACATTATATTACAGGATAACTAAAACTGAAGTAGTATTTTTTAATCTATTAGTATTAAAAAACAATGATTATCTGTAAATAAAAAAATAAAAATAATAATTAACTTTTATAGCATAGTTTTATATTGTAAAAATGCTGCTGCTTGTTACTACAATTTTCTATCATATTGTTAGATGCATACATACACATATGACATTTTAATATGTGAAAAAGATATAATACTGGTTGCTTATTTGTCCCCTTTTATGAAAGTGCTGATAATCCATACTTTTAAATATGATTTGACAATCATATGAGCAAATACTATGTCAGTTGATATGCTGATGTCTTTCTATTCATTTGTATAGTGAGAGAAAAATTTTAGTAAAATTTTGCAATTAATTAGTAAGTGGCTAATAGTTTTGTCATGAAAATAATACGCCTAATTTTTCTCCTTACTGTTAATTTCATAAAAATTTTCAAAAAATATAACTGGCAAAGTGCATGAATAACCATAAATAGGATGCTTTAAGTAAATATATTTATCTGATAACAAATAATAAAAATTAAAAATATATGTTCATATTAATTATCGAGATAGCATAATATGTTTAGCTGTTGGTAGTGTACATGCACACAAACACATACACACTTACTTACTAAGTAAGGATCATTTTTCAGATAGGGAAACAGCAAAATTCAACTGTTCCCTTATAGGGGGTCAAACTACACATCTTCTAATTGCCAGTTGGATATTCTAACCACTTACACAATGACAAAATGCACATAGGAGTTTGATAATATTTTACATTCTCCCAAATTAAAGGGCAACTAAGGAGAACCCTTAGCTGTATACAATCGAATCAGACTAGCATTTTAGTTTGGGTACTAACATTAACTTATATTTTTTGTCATAAGTGTAATGTGAGAAACCAGTGGGCTTGCATTGGTATTAAAACCACAGATCTTCCAACTGCCAGCTAAATATGATAACTACTTATACACAGGAAGACTCAATAATTTTTCAGAACTATTAATATAGAACAATATGTGTAAAAAAATTTTCCTAGGAGTAATTTATACGTAACAAGCTAATCATACATATTATTAACTTAAATTCATTGGACTTCTTACACCCTGTGCTCTTATAAATACATCAAAAAATGACAAATTTACGTACGGAAATTGCAGTCAGTCAGCTTACTGTTAGTAGAGCAGTTTCGCGTGTTATTGCTACTGTCAATAGAAAATTATTGAAAAAATGGATAATAGTTAAAAAAAATCAATGTACGTTACTTTTACGATTTTCTTCTTACATGTAATGTAAATTTTAAGCCACTACCTCAGCATAGGGTGTTACTTGTCATAATAAACCACCTGCATATACTTCTAAAATAATTTTGTACCCATATTAAATACACCTTTGAAAACTTTCCTTTATCTCCCAGTATTATACATTATACTGAAAAGGAAAGTAAACTTTTAAAGTCAATGTTTTATTAAATTAGTAAATGTCTTCTTATGAACATATAATTCAGTGGTATTGCATGGAATTAACACATTATCATTATAGTAAGTACATTATAGGGATGTTTTCTTTTCTAGATAACTGCAGCAAGGAAAACTGATTTCATGTAACTAGTGAAATGATAAGACTGCATGTAACAATAGCAACTGTCTAGAGCAAAACGATGGGAGAAGAATTTTAAGAACTTATAATTTTAGAACTTAGGCCACTGCGTGCTGTAGTATGATTGGGCTAAAGCTCCTTGAAGAACAAGGAGCATAAAATGGTTTTCTCAAAAATTTGGAAGCAGATTCCAGTTTTTTTGAAGAATTCCAGTTTTTCATGTCAATATTACTTGTATTAAAATACACGAGATCCAGTGATCATAGAATAGGCACCCCTGTCTAAAGCAATACCACTGAACAGAAAGCTCAACAATATAAAACAAAATGAGAGTTTTGATCCAACTGGTTCGCAGCTTCCTGTTTACAGGGCTGCTTAAGGAGGAGACACTTCTAAGAGCTTCAAGAAATAACAAAATAATTAAAAAAACACTCATAGGTGTTAAAAATGAATTTTCCAGAAGGTTTCTGAATGTTGCCGAGTCGATAAAAATACTTATATGTTGCAAACAAGTGATGAATTTGATATTAATGCCCAGTAGAAGGGTTTCTGTTGCTAACTTCAACTGTACTTGAGCTATAGTTACAACTCCAATGTCAATCAACTCAGAATTGAAAGATCTTCAACATAATGCATTACAAATACAAACACTTATAGATACCAAGAAATTTTATATAAAATACACAATAAACAACATTAAATTATCATACAAAATGCATGAATTAATAAATAAAAACAAACAAACAGATAATACAAAAATATTGATTTACAATAAACACAAATACTTATACAAATTAAAACAGTACATATTTGCTTACTGAAATCAGATTTTAAAGTTAAATATAGGGGAACTGAAAACTTAAAATGACAAAAAAATGTAAATGAGAAGCTCCCTTAGTTATTCTGACTGTTAGAAATAATTTGTAATTTTAATCAGTAAAAAAAAATCTTTTTGCCTGTTATTTATTTTATTAAAAAAAATGGTACTGATTTTACCTTTAAACATACATAACATGGTTACTCTCTACTAATTTTTTTTATGATAATTAAATCCTATGAAAAGAATTTCAATTTCATTCATAAGTTAAAAAGTGCTATTGTATGTATTTTGATTAGAATAAAATATCAACAATTGCAATTATGTTTTTAATAGACATACCAGTAAAATCTTTAGACAGTGTTATGATGCAATAGTTATGCTATATATTATTTAATTTTGACTGCATAAAATTATATAATAAATACAACTCCTTAAATCACATTAATTAAAATCATATTGTTTTATGACAAAATAAATATTGATTAGAATAGGTACTGGGATAGAAATAGTGCTCACATCATTAAAAAAACTTATAAATCTAAACTTATAAAATCCCTATAAGTAAACAAAAATTTCACCAAGAGATTAAAAAAAAAGAGGAAAAAAAAGTATTGTTCAAAGAAATCGATATCAAAATTACAAAATTATGATAGGCTTCATAATGTCAAAGTTTCCCGCTTGACAAGCATAAAACAAGAATATTTGATATTTGAATTGCCTGAATAAAAAGTATTTTCTCCCTTTTTTCCATTTCTCATCACCACATCTCATTTAAAATTAATACAACTTAGCAGCTCTTTTCTAAGTGCACTGTTTAATATTGATATATTTGACTATCCACACACTGATAATTTTTAAACTCTCATAAACAAAATGAAAAATTAGAAATAAAATTTTTAGCAAAATTTACTTTTAATTAGTGTCTTGTCATTTAATTAATCTTTTATAATGTTACTCTATGTACTATCTTGGAATAACTTTTCCATAGCAAACAAGCAAGCAGGTAGTACAATATATTTTATTGGAGAGCATTCAAACACAAAACCATGAATCATGAAAACGAAAAGCATCCATACCTACAAATTTTGTCGCACAGTCAGCAGCAACCACAACAGCATTCATCTGCTCTATATTATACTTATAGGATTCTGAATCTTTATTTATTGTATTTAATAGCATTTCACATACAGATCTGGAATATCCCAAAAGAGCTTCAGGCTGATTTAAAGGGAAAAAGGAAGAAATAGAAATAATAAATGAATAAGCTTTTTATTTTATTGAATTATTAATATTTCATAAATAACAATAAGAAATATAGTTTCATAAAGTTAAACTACAAATACATTACATTATGAATGAAATGATTTTTTAAAGTTCAGAGCTGAAATTTAAAAAAAATTCTTTAAACTAGCAAACTTTTTAATCATAAACAAACCAAGATATAAGCAGATTCCTTGACTTAAAATTTTCAAGTGCTAATCAGCATTCGGATTAATAAACATAAAGCTCAAAACAGATGCTATCTGTATGCAAGAAAATAACTACTCATAAAATTTAATTAACAGCTTAATGCTTTTAAAACTGTGTATGCCAAACATCTGAAATGAGAGCTTAATTAACCAATAACTACTAAAAATAAGTCTCTATAATTTACAAAAATGAGACTAAATACACGTCTTAATCATATTAATTTATGAAATTCAAAATTAAAAAATATTTTGCAATACAGTTTAGGCTCAATTAATGTTATATTAAAAAAAAAATCAGTTGTCTACCTGAAAAAATTTACATTTTTAAGCTTGGTAAGCATTGAAAGAGAGATCTTCAAACAGAAATTCTAAAAAATGAAATAAGTATTTAATATGATCAATAATTATTATTCTGTCTGTAATTACTACACAAACTTACTGTTTTATCTTAGAAAGAATAATATGCTACATTTTAAAACATACATACTGATATATATGTCAGAATAAAATAAACAAAAAAAGTATTTTTGTTATTATGAGTCTATTTAAATGAAAAATCTTATCTCTTTTATCAATGACTATTATAATTTCTTTGCAAACAAAGAGGTAAAATAAAATAAACACTACCTTAATATAATAATAAATAAAGCAAATTTTCTCCACACATAATATAAGCCTATCAGAGAAATTCAGTTTTTGATTTTCTATGTCCAAATGGAAAATCTATTTCAAATGGAACTATTTCCCTGATCGAACACAATAAACTATTCATCAGATTAAGTATCAGTGAATGAAAGATTTCACATATTTTATGTAAAATACAAGCAATAACTAAGACCATAATAAAAACTGACCTTACTTATTACTGCAAAGCAAATAAAAGTAATATATTACCTTTTTTAATCTTTTACCATTATAATATGAAAGATAACTCATATCACAAAGGGAGTTTCTAAAGTGTAAAATTTCTGAATGTGTTCATATAAAAGCTCAATTTCCATTTAAGAAAAATATTTGCTCTTAGCGGAATACAATTCTATTTATAAAATGTATAATAATAACATAGCAGTGAAAACCAGAACAGCAATGATTCTGATTTAAATGTGCTTTCACTAAATCAATAAAGAAGAAGCATTTATAGATTTTCTTTCAAGAAATGACATGTAAAGTTTCTATTGCAGTGATAAAACCATTTGAATAAAGATAAAACTAAGTGATTACCATCCACATGAAAGCAAACGAGATATCTTTCAAACATGATTTCTTGAGATAATAGTATTCAATGTTTATAAAATGAGCCATATTAAACCTAAATACAAGCATTTTTTCTGCTCTGAAAACTATAGTTTTTTGGGAAGAAATCTTAAGCATTTAAAAAAATCTACTTGATTATATCAATGATGCATCTTTAGACAGCAAATTTTCATTTAAATTCAGTCAAACCTTTGGAAACTGCAAGAGATGACAAATGACATGATTTCTCTAACATAAATAAATAATATGGAAGTGATATTTTTTACTTATACTACTTTACATGCATTTACATTGGTTGTCATTTATTAAGAAAAAATCACAAAAATGACGATTACTCAAGTTACATATAGAACTTCAACTGGCCCACAGTGTACAAGATATAGTAAGGTATGAAACAACATGAAAAAAATCACAAACAATTATAATGTTACAGAAATAAGCATATGTATAAAATGAACAAATAGGATCTTTCTGTTTGGTATAGGAAAATTAGCTTCAGTATGAAGTATGATCTTGCTTAGAAGCAATACAGCAATTATGCAGTCTAGCAGTTCCACAGGAAGTGAGAGCCATTGCAAGTGTGGCAAAAGTCTGAACAGGAGAATTGAGAACAGCTACATATCTTTCTAAAAGCATCCTAAACATGCTCGATAGAATTCAGGCCCAATGATTGTGTCGACACCTCCATCTGCAGAGCTGTTTGCATATGAAGATAATCATCACCAGCCCTGTGAGGTCTAGCATCGTTGTCCTGTAGCAAGAAACCATCACTTATTGCCCCGGCATACGGGCACACATAAGCATCAAGAATATCATCTCTATAGGGCTGAGCATTCACAGTTCCATGTGGTAAGGCATGCAGGTCTCTCCCAATGAGATACCACCACAAATACACACACTGCCTTTTGTATGCATCTCTTTCACAGATGTCTGATAGATGATAACAGTTTCCAGGTACTCTCCATATCAAATAATGCCTACTATCACTCTTGAAGGTAAAGCTGAAATCATCTATAAAGAAAACAACCCACCATTGATCAGCTGTTCAGTGGGCATGTTGACATGCCCACCACAAAAGTTTCCTTCTATGACATGATGTGAGAGGTTAGTTAGTTGTAAGCACTGGCCCCCAGCCCACCTAGCAGGCGAAACTTGCCATATGGCTATGAGGGGACAGGCCAAGCCACAAGCCACAAAGGCATAACCAAAAAAAAAAAAAAAAATAAAATAAAATAAAATAAAATAAAATAAAATAAAATAAAATAAAATAAAAAAGTAAAGTAGATACATACATTCCAAGCACTCTCATGACGTGAGAGGTATGCAAATGGCTATTTGCCTCATGTACATACCTCATTCATGAAGCCTCCTATGTACAGTTGATATTGAAAGCAACAACATTCTAGTGACTGCAGAAAGGGAGGTTCTAAGTTGAATCGGAGTCATGGTTCTATACCTTTGTGTGCATAACAACAAATATCGGTCATTGGCGCTCGGGGTGGTGGTTGACCATTCCTGGATGCCGAATCTGCGGTAGAAATTGTTGCCAAAGTCTATGAATCACAGAAAAACTCACATTTAGCCATCTGACCATCTGACTCTAGTCTCCTTTTAGCACTCCAATGCAGTGCTTCAAGCAAATGACAGCTGGAGGTCATAGCTACAAATTGGCTATCCCAGATTTCTTATCTTAGCATCAGAGCAAAATTTGTTGGCTTGCTGTCCGATTGCAACACCACTAACTTGTATACAGCAGTTTTACTCGGCAATTCTTATTTGACAACATATTCAAATTTTATACTAATTGGCTAATCTTTGAACAAATTATCAGAATTTTTGTGATTTTTTTACAATTTTTGGAAACCAGTGTATATATTTTAAAGATATATACATACTTTAATATTTAAAGATACTTTTATATATTTTAACATACATATTTTTTATATGGCTTGTTTATACATACTTTAAAAAGAATAAAAACAATCTTAACTACTAATATTATTAACATCACTTGCAAACTTTGCTTCTTATAAACAAAAAAGCTTATAAAGTGTTTCATAAAGGTATAGCAAAATTGCAGTAAATATTGTCATTTCTAATGATAAAAAAAACTACTACGGGTACATATAGAAGTACAGGTATATCCGAACTTTACCATTGATCATACACATATAGTTGTAGCTCTGCCCTGATTTTGATGTACAGCATCTTGGGGTACTGATCTGAGGATTTCTAACACTTTTCCCCCTACCACTATGCCACATGAGAGAAATTTGGGCTTGCCAGTATTTTAAGTACTGCCACAGACATTATACACTTATAAACATACATGCGTTCTCTCAGATTTCACTCCTGGGCCCAATGATATGGCAACCAGCATTGTTAAACATTATATGAATAAACATAACTACAAGTGGCAGGACACCAAAATTCACAAGTTGTATAGTCCCACTGCACTAACTGTGTACCCCAATTCTGAGGAAGAACACCTTGGGGGCAAGAATCTGGGAATCTCCAACTCCTCTTCTCCTACCACCAATCAACAGGACTTTCAGCTTGCCATGTATTTTGAGTGCCCCCTTGCTACACAGACGCTGAACACGTAAAAACATCTAATGCCTTCTCCAGGATTCAAAGCTTGGCCCATCAGTATAGCAGTCCCACACCACTATACCATCTGGGCGGCAAAAATAACAACACATACTTACATGAGATCCTAGTGCAGTCGCATGTCTATAAAGATCCATAGTTTCACTGTGTTTTACTTTATCTGCAATAAATGCTTGGCCCACCCAACTCAAAGGATATGTTGGTTCAGCTGATTGAGCCATTCTAAAAGCAATATGTGAAAGCTATAAAAATAATATGAAAGAAAAAATTTCAGTTTTGCAATACATATATATATTAATGTTTATAGTTACTTTTAATGTTAATTATCAATACTAACAAATATATAATTTAAATACAGGAATTGAAGATTAAATTACTGCTGCAAATTAATAAATAATAGGTATGAATTATACAGTTTACAGCAAGGATGTCAAACTCACGGCCCACGGGCCGCATGCGGCCCACAACAAATATTTTTGCGGCCCAGCCAATATATCGGCAAATAATAATATATAATAATAAAATAACATATCGACGAAGAAAAAAATGAAATGTTTACTGCTAAGTAATTAACGATAATTTATTCAGTAATTAACGATTATTTATTATTTCAGATTACTCACAGCGAGCTGACACACACACTACTTAAATTACAAATGCGTGTGAGTAGCTTGCGTTCAGCTACCTTCGGCTTTTGGGGGACACATGCACTCAGAACTTGTACGCATCCCCCGATAGCCGAATGTGGAATCTTTATTATTAATTATTACTTAATTCATATTGTTACGGATTTCATAGTTATTTATTTAGTTAGTTTTTTTTTATTTAGAATTGTAATTAGATTTGCTTCATGTTGCCTTAGCAATGCAGACGATTTTTGAAAAGACAGCTGCGTTGGAAGGTTAAAAATAGAACAGCGCGTGCATTTAATACCTAATAAATAAATATCTCGTAATTGCTGTTGCCATCCACAAAAATCCAGATATTTATAGGTGTTTCCAGTATATTCGAGAAATTAATTATAAAGCTTATAAAAGCCGAGAACAAACAACTCATCTCAGTAGTAGCTGTAGTTCTAGCGAACTGTTTGTTTACTTAATGCTGTGATTGATTTGTAGCGATTTCGCTGCGAGATAGAATTAGTTTCTCTGTTTTGAATTGATTTTTGCTTAACGTTTGACATTTTGTGATATCGTTTGGAAGAAATATTGCATGCGGCCCACCTAAAGTTAAACCTTGTTTGTTTGGCCCAAGTGTACCTATGAGTTTGACATCCTTGGTTTACAGCTTTGAACAATAACAAGTAGTGTGCCATAACTTTCCTTTCTCACTACATATATATACATTTAACAACTGGTTCTTTTTTGTTAAAGCCACGCTGTTTGGCACTTTTTTTTTTTTTTTGTTTGTTTGTTTGTTTGTTTTGGCTCATTTCTTTGGCAGTAGGTGTCCTGAGTTTAGTTCAACATCTGTTCTGGTGATACCCATCTTTAGTCTGTATGACCATTTCCCCCCTATAACCAGCTTTTAAACTGTAATGGATGGATTCTATGGTTTACCAAGAAATGAAGAAGCAGCAATTTTGTTTCTTCAAGAAAACATATTCTTTACAAGAAAGATAGTGTTTGCAGTTTTCTTTTTAATTAAAGCTTGCTTCCAATGAATCCTAACACAATGCTTGAGTGGAATAATTACCTGTATTATTCCAGAAAGAGGTATGTAACTATTCCTTGTTATCTCCTACTAATCTTAAAATCAGTAGATATAAAAAAACTGTGGAAATGGATAAAAACTTATTGAAAAAAAAAAAAAAAAAAAAAAAAAAAAGAATGCAGGCTGTCTTTCCCCCACAAAGGATCTTTGGATGATTCTGTCATGAAATTGAAGAATGTTTCTTATTCCTACTCCCAGTCAATGCACTTCATCTAATACTGAGCTAACAGCATGGGGACTGAAATGCACCAGTATGGCACCGAAAACACATAGCATACCTACAGCTATTCAGAAAGTAACTTATGTTTTAGAAAAAAAAAAAAAAAAAAAAAAAAAAAAAAAAATGAAAGTAAAAATTTTTTTATTATTTATATTTGAAAGGCACATTATTCAGCTATTTTTCTGCATAATCTCCATTAACATTATAATAAGTGTATAAATTAAGATACTTATCATAATGTTACACAAGTATGTTAAGTGTATTATCATAGAGAGTTGCCGCCTGAGACTTCAGCCCTGCACGGATGCATTTCCTTGTCATCGCCGAAGCACTGTGTTGCAATCCAGATGCACACATGTGTCTCACAAGCGACGAACTTTACTTAAGTCTCGTCTTCTATTATGACATGGTCGAGTAGTGATTCACTGTTCAAGGTATGTAAGGATCTTAAGTTTTACTAACGTTTATTTTATTTTAAATCTTTACTATCGCTTTTTATTTTCTACTTCCGGCCAGAATTATAAGCGTTAAGGTTTTTATGCAAAGTTTGTCTGGCGAACGCCAAGTATTTAAGTTGTGGCCTTTTGCCAAGCGAGAGAGAGGAAGCAGTGAGTCGAAGCAGGCCGCTTACCTTAGAAGTTACGCAGTTGCTGTTTGCCTTCCAGGCCAGAGGTTTTAATCCTCTTGATAAATTTTAAACGTATTGTAGTGTTCACAGTTCTCTGTACTACATACGCTTCCTGTTAATATAAGGCCAATCTTCCACGTTTATTATTCTAAAGTTAAATTAGAGTTTAGTTTATTTTTATACTTTTACGTTAGACCCCCAAGTAGCGGGTCAGTGTATTCCGAAGTACGGAAGTTATTGTATATAGAGAAAAAATAAAGGGTTTTGTATACCCTTCGTGTGTATCCTGTCTACTTACCCACATTAGTGAACATAGCTTTAGTAAGCTCTCTGTTCCGAGTCAGGTCCTTGCATGTTCCCGAAGAAGGTAAGAAGGAACATTGAACCTGATAGTGGCGCCCAACGAAGAAGAATAACCATGGCCGAGTTTCAAGAAGAACCTGTGCTGCCTGCAGAAAACGGCTCAGAATCCAGAAATGCCAGCTGCCGCCCTGGAAGGATTTGGTTACATCGTCCAGACCATGCGCGCTTCGATGAAACCAGAAGCAACATTTAATGGAAACTCACCGGTAACCAGTTTTTTGGAAAAATTGGATGACCACTTCATGCTCTACCCCGTGCACGAGTTTCAAAAAGTTACCTTAGCTACCAGCGCTTTGAGGGGCCAAGCGCTTAACTGGTTCAAATGTATAGGCAGAAGTCTCTTGGGTCAAGCAGGAAGTCCCACCTATACTTACGAAAATTTCAAGACTGCCCTACTAAAAGCCTTCCCTGTTGTAAGGGATCGTGCGAAATTAGAAACGGAACTTTTCAGTATATATCAACAAAGAATCGAAAACCTCTCAAGCTTTATTTTAAGAAAAATTCACGTCTTCAAAGCTCTTGTATGGAAACCGTCCGGATCCTGAAATAATTCAAGTGATTTTGCCGAGGTTACTGCCCCAAGTGCAAGACTTTATTGAATTAAGAAATCCGACTACACTGGAAAAGTTATTTGAGCTAGCAATCCAGTTTGAAAGTAGAAGAACGGCGGACATTCGAAAGAAGACGCCAATATCAACAGCGAAACCAATTTGGTGCGCCAAGACTACAGCAAACTCAAGCACACGGCTACGGAGAAAAAGCGAATCAGTGGGCAAGGAAACCCGAGCATTCAAAAACAGCCGGCGAACGTCGACAGTTCAATAGCAATCCAGGAAAAAAGTCTCAAGGCCAGTGGAAAAAGAAGGAAAGCACGGAAATGAAAAAATAATTTAAACTAAAACGGATTTCTGCTGACGGGAGGGTGCGGAAATCCGAAGGCCACGAAAAACCCCTCTTCCTTCAAGTTAAATACAGTAATGGTGAAAAATTTGACTCTTCCGAAGATTGAAGTGTTGGTGAATAATATCCCAGCCACCGCACTCCTGGATACAGGCGCGCAGTGTTCCTGTGTGGCAGAAGATTTTTTTAGGAAGTATTTTCGCAAATACCGCATATATAATTCGGATAATACGACAGTGTTAGCGGCGCAAGGAGAAAAATGTAAGTGTATAGGTAAAGTACCTTTGTATATCCGTATCAAGGACGAACAAGTAAAGGTGATGTTTTTTATAGTAAAGAATCTGCAAGCACATATAATTTTAGGAATAGATTTTCTTTCAGAGGCACAAGCAACGCTGGATTTTAATGAAGCGTCCCTTAAGCTGACAATGAAACCAGTTCGTACAGAAAAGGCTGAACCGCCGATGTTAAAAAACTTGACCACCTGCCTAATGACGAGCAAGGAAGAATCCGACAAGTGGTAAGTGAATTTGCTTCGTTATTTAGTGATATTCCAGGATTTACTCAGGTTACTAACCATAGTATTGACACCGGAGATTGCAATGCCAGTTCGCCAAAAACCATACCGGTATGATAAGAATAAGGAAAAAATTATAGAATGGCATATTACCGATATGCTACGTAAAAAGATCATAACGCCCATCTCAAGTAGTTATGCTAGCCCGGTGGTTTTATGTAAGAAAAATAATGACTATCCTTTGACACATCCAAAAAGGTGGAGATTCGCTATTGATTACCGTAAATTAAACTCCATAACTAAATATCCGGTATATCCGTTACCGATTATTGAAGAAATTCTAAGGAACATAAAATCAACCAAATTTATGACGACTTTAGACTTAACGACTGGTTATTTTCAAATAGGGGTTAGGCCTGAGGACGTGCCTAAGACTGCTTTTATAACCAAGTCTGGCACTTATGCATTTTTGCGTATGCCGTTTGGCCTTTCAGGGGCCCCGGCAACATTTCAGCGATGCATGGACATTGTGTTAAGGACCTGTTCTTGGAAAGTCCACATTTATCTATTTAGACGATATCATTATTACTAGTGATAATCTCGACCAACATGTACAGGATTTAAGACAGGTGTTTTCTTTATTAAATGAGGCCGGTCTAAAAGTTAATGTCGAAAAGTGCAAATTTGCAGCCCCTGAATTAAAATATTTAGGTTACAAAATATCTCAGAAAGGAATCGAGACAGACGAATCAAAAATAATCGCTGTACAAAAGTATCCGACTCCAAACACGGCAAAGAAGCTCTCTTCTTTTCTAGGACTTTGTTCATATTATAGGTCCTTTATAAAAGATTTTGCAGCTATTCGCTGAAGCCATTGTTAAAATTAAAAAGGAAAAAGGCA